TTATCTCCTACAGGGGATGTATGACCCAGCTCTATTTCTTTTGTTTTTTTGCTGTTAGCGAATGTTGTGTTCTGACATCAATGGCCTATGACCGTTATGTGGCCATCTGCAATCCACTCTTGTATAACATTACTATGTCTCCCAAGGTCTGTTCCTATCTTATGCTTGCTTCATATCTAATGGGATTTTCTGGTGCTTTGATCCACACTGGATGCATTCTGAGACTGACCTTCTGTGACAAGAACATCATCAACCACTATTTCTGTGACCTTTTCCCTTTGCTGCAGCTTTCCTGCACCAGCACCTATGCCAACGAAATAGAGATTCTAATTGTAGGTGGTAAAGATATCATTGTGCCCAGTGTTATCATCTTTACCTCTTATGGTTTCATTCTCTCTAATATCCTTCAAATGAGATCCACTGCAGGAATGTCTAAAGCCTTCAGCACCTGCAGCTCCCACATTCTTGCTGTTTCTTTATTCTTCGGTTCAGGTGCATTTATGTATTTTCAACCCTCTTCACCTGAGTCTATGGATCAGGGGAAACGGTCTTCTATTTTTTATACTATATTGGTGCCTATGATGAACCCCTTAATCTATAGTTTGAGAAACAAAGATGTTAAACTTGCCCTGAAAAAAACATTTAGCAAGAAGAGACTTTGATATCAAATTAATGTATTTATCACTATAGTTATGCTAATAAAGATTTCTGTGGATTTAATCAAATTCTGTGGACTCTATTTTTAGAAATCTTATCACTTATATGATATTGGTATATCTTTAATTCCATTTGATTTTGGTGTAATTATTCCTTAGTTATATACTATTGGCAAAATCTCCTTTATTACTACATCCATTAACTAAATGTCAGTATGGGATATATCCTAAAAATAGCCAATGATCTGCTAAGAACTTTACAAAGAAACTAACACAGCATTGTTCTAGTATCTTGTGGCAATTTGGCTCTCATTTGTCAATGTAATGAAGTGTGAACCAATTTGTCTTTTATTCTTTCTTACACATCAGTGTATCTCTTGGAAACCTCAGACCTTTATGATTCAGATGTTTTTATTAACTGGCTATTGAATATAATCTACATTGCAGGTGTAAATAATGTACATTTAACCGTCTTATGCTAGATGTTTTACATTTATTTTATAATGATATACCAGGAAGATAAGGAATATAAATTACATTTGTGTGTGTGTGTGTCTGTGTGTGTCTGTGTGTGTTTCACAGGACCTTTGTGGCTGTGGTTCTTCTCCACTCCTCATGAAAGTTTTATAGGACTCCTTATTTTTGACAAATGTAGTCTAACAGCTAGTTCGAGAATGATTGAAAACATGGACTCATTTTCTGGTTGGAGGAGAATGAATACAACTGCAGGAATCAGCAATGATTTGTAGCTAAAAGTCAACATGGGAAGAAATTTGTAACGTCAAAGCATGGGGAAATGGCAAATTATTTCTTCATCTCTTTTTTGGAGGTTCTTAGAAACAGTATGATTATAGGAATTTTATATTTTGTTGTTGTGTTGTTGGATAATGCTATCTGATATTAAGACAGTAACATCAGCATGGCAGTAGTGCCTGAATACAACTAAATCACCCCTTCTTTCATGGAGTTTATGCATTATTGATATGTACAATATCAATGTACAATATAACAAACTGAAAACTCACAAAGGTGGGAAAAGAATAATTTCAAAGTTCTGCTTGGTGTGGCTAAATAGTTTGAAAATCTAAACAAAGATTAATTTTTCTTCTCAGAAATTGAGCAAATATTATAGCAGAAAATTCATAATCTGATACCAAGTGAGAACTTCATTTGTTCTATAGTAACTTGAATGATATAAATATTTTTATGTTCTTTGAAGTTTGTCCAAAATAATTTTTGGTTTGTATTTATGGTTAAGATATTCTGTATAAATACATTTATTTTTACTGTAAGGTGACTATCTTTTCAATGGCTCAAATAGCAAATTTTTGAAATTTTTAAGACTTATTTATTGATTGATTCTTCTATATGTTTGAGAGTTTTATCTGAAGATAGATATGTATATCTCTTTTGTGCATTGTCTACAGAGGGTGGAAACAGATGTCAGATGCCATGAATCTGGAGTTACAGATAGTTGTGAGCCATCATGTGGGTATTATAATTGAACTATAGTCTTCTATGGGAGTGCTGAGTGCTTTTAAACATTAAACCATTTACTCAGGCCATGGATTCTGTATTTTTATTAAAAATGTTCTGTTCTCATAGAAGAACTCAGTTTGCCTTGGAAAAATCTTTAATTTCTCCTCTACATAATGCTTCTTTAGGTAACATTGTCCTCTGTATTGACTATAATTGTACAGTTGTATGATTAGTGTACACTAATGATACAGAAATATGCATTATTGTAACATATGAATGAACTCATGGTTAGTAGGTCAATAATAGTAACCCCAAATATTTGTTATTGTAATATGTGAATAAGCTCATGGCTAGCAGTTCCTCAATAGTAACCCCAATTATGTGTCATTACAACAAATGAATGTACTCATAGTAGCTCATTAATTATAACCCAAATATATATCACTGTAACATATGAATGAGATCATGGTTAGTAGTTTGTTAATAGTAACGTCTTTAAATTTTCTCATGCTTTCTCAATCATTTCTAATTTATCTGTGATAGTTTTGTGCCTTTTTTATATCATATACGGTATAAATCACAAAACACATGTTCTTCTCTCTCTTGCTTATGTCAATTAAAATGATGATATTTAATTCCAAGCATTTTCCTATGACAAATGATTTCTTTATTTGACTAAAGAATTTTCTGTTACTTGTATATCTTGCATTTTAACCATGTATCTATCAGTGAGGTCCTTTGCTATTTCTATCATTTATTTTTTATGAGTAATACTGTAATAATCATGCATAAACATTTATGTTATATTCTAGGTCTGATTTCCTTAGCTACCTCACAACCAGTAATGATTATTTGTCTTTTTATTTCAACCTCCTTTCTAACTTCTGTAGTTACATTTCCTGCAGCAGTATAGATGTGTTAGTTTAATAACAGTCTTGCTGTTGTTTGATATTTAGTTTTCTTGATGATATTTGTTATGAGTTAAATGAGAAGGAATATCATTACAGATTGGATTTTTATTGCCTCATGGCAAAAAATGTTGAACTGTGTGTTTGTGTAACTGTCACATCTTATCTTCTTATTCTGAAAAGTAGACAGATCTCATATACATTTATTGATCACATCTTTTTATTTCTTTGTTTTGTTTTGTTTTAGTGATTAAGACAGTTGGTTTCCTTTCATACTCCAGACATTGATATCCTGTTGAAGAAATGCTAGAAAATGTAACCCCACATTCTTAATTAGCATTTCTCTTCTTGTGGATAATTATTTGTTTGTCTTTTAACCTATTGGCTAGTTTTTATTTTCATTTCCTGTGTCATAAGCCCTACCTACAAAAGGGTGACATGAATTTGAAAGAGAACAAGGAGAGTTACATGAATGAGAAGAAAGGGAAGAATTTTATGATGTGACTATGATCTCAAAAATTAAAAGAAAAGTTAAAAATACTGAATTCTGTGTCTTGAAATTCTTGATTCTATATCTGTCTTGGAGGGTTTCCCTCATGTTTGCCCTTTATTTTCAAGCTTTCAAGTGTTTCACTAAGACCTTTGATACAATTCTTCTTGATTTATGCATTACTATGTGAAGTGACTAGGGTTTTTTTTTCATTAGTTTGTCTCATGTTGTTATTGTTGTCTTTTTCCTTTTTAAAAATTTGAGATACAATATTATGTAGCCAATATTAGCCTCAAACTAATTATCCAAGAATAACATGAACTCCTGATCCTCCCATTTTAACTTCACAAGTAAGAAGATTCCAGAACATTCTACCATGCCTAACTCCACCAACAGTTCAAGTACTTTTTCTTATCTGTTACATAAATTGGCTACACAGTGTTCTTTATTAAAGGTTAATAAACTATAATGTTGACATAAATATCACTTCTGTCTCATTTATTCATCTACTGACAGATATTCATGCATATTCCAGTGACTGGTTGTAATATACCTGATTTCAAAAATATCTCCCATATTTAGCAATCTCTAGAAGAAAAATAGATTAAAAATACATTTGGCACAAGCTATTTTAAACTAATGATGACTCAAGAAATGACTCCTTTATCAAGCCAATTGGATTTATATTCATAGCTTATGTTTCACTATTTCTCATTAAGTAGGGATTTATTATAACTGGTTTTATGATTATTTTCTTGTTTATCACCACAATACTACAATTGATGACATGATTTTTTTCTAACACCTATTTTAAAGAAATTCACAGATTAGTTAAGAAGTTTGCATCAGTAACTCTCTGGGCTCCATAGCTGTTCTACAATCTTTATTGATATTGCTGAGCTCATTAATAAATTGCTGCATGTAAGAACTTAACAAGAAACTAATACAGAAATGTCAAGTAGGTATTGAAATGGCATAGCAATGATGCAATGTGCCTTTGGAATCTAGGGATGTTGTTCAATGGGAAAGTTCCTGCTTGGCATTGATGACTTCTGGAAAATCCTCTTGAGCACTGAAGACTAAAAAGCAACCATAAACAAGTTTTGCAAAGTCACTTGGGGAACTCTAAGGACAGATAATAGCTTAGATATTTTGTTGCATTACATTCTAAAAAAATATGGTAAGGTCATAAGGAATACTGGGAATAGAATTTGTAGAAAATTAGCATTAAAGATGGATAAACAATGAGAAAAGAAAGCAACACAATAGGTTTCCCTTAAGATGTGAAGGTTATTAGGAGCTAGGGTTCAATATGGGCTAAAGCACAGAAGTACAGTCCCTAAAGACAACATCAAGCCTCTCTTAAGTGCCAACTCTCTAAGGAACAAAAGACATATCGTGGTCTAGAATTTAAAAACTATTGTCTCATGTCTTTTTTATGTCTTGTTCTCTGAGAAGTGATTGAGAAGGCTTCCACCTGTTGACATAGCCAAGTATATCATGCTAGTGAGCTACAAAAAACTTTTCTTGTCTCAGCTGGTAAGTGAGATAAAAAGAAGACAGCAATTCAAAGGATTAAAGGGTATGGTTATAAATTATGACAAATTAAGCAAGATTACATGGAATATGAAAAAATATACTGCGGAGACTAATATAACCCTAAAACATAACAGGGGTAAAGAATAAAGTAAAAACATTTGTGTCATAGTGAGGTAGGTTGAAATTTCTTTATGCAAGTGTTCTCATTTTTCTTTCACATCAATTGACATCCTCCAATATCTGTAAATGTTAAATTGTTGGGGGCAGAAATGTCTTTTTGATCACTAGGTAAACCAAGTATTTTAAACACGAGGGCCCTCTACACAATGGAGGAGATATAATACCTGTTTTCTCTTAATGGGGGAGGGGTTGGATATTATTCATACTATAGTGAACTGTTTGGCTATCTGTAAATGTAAATATCACCTATCTTTTGCATCAGAGGCAGTCCGCACCAAAATATGCCAGACTTTTTATCCCAGACTTTTCTTCTCTGTCTTGCAGGTAATAGAAACAATCCTTGTTGGCCATGCCTGTATGCATGTGGCATATAGTTTATAGCCTTTTGTACTCTGTGCTATCTCAGTCAG